CCTGTATCAAGGACCCATGAACGAGAAGATAATGAGTTATTAGCAGAAATAGTGTAAATACCTGCCGAAGATGGCTTCACTTTGCCATCCTTGATATCTTGCAGATATTGTGGGCAAGATCTCTTCCAATGCCCCTTTTGATTGCAGTAAAAGCAAACGGCCTCTTTTGGATCAGAAACATGGGGAGTGGAACCATTGGGCTTAGCCTTTGGGCCATTACTAGATGACCCAGCTTGAGCCTTGCTCTTCCAGTTTTGCTTGGGAGGACCTTTCCTCTTTTTCCCCTTTCCCTGTCCAATAGCCAACACAGGGGCACTTGTAGGTGTGGAGGGTATACTTTTACCCTTCATCCTGCCTCAGCTGTCTGCAACAAGTTGTGCAATTGGGCCAAGGTCTGCTCAGTATTGTTCAAATGGTAAGTTAGAATAAACTGACCATAACAATCAGGTAGTGAGTTCAAGACCATGTCAATGGCCAATTCCTCATCAAAGTGAATGTTGAGCTTGACCAAACGCTCTATGTAGCGTTGCATTCTTTGCACATGTGACACAACCGATTCCCCTTCTTTCATCTTGCAAGCCATGAGTGACTTGACTACTTCGAAACTTTTCTTGACGAGCTCGCTTATGGTACTTTTCCATAAGGTCCTTGTTCATCTCGAAAGGCCAGTAGTCCTCATAGTACCTCTGCAGTTCTGGGGACATGGTTGCCACCATGATGCATGCCACTTTGGTAGCATCATCGTAATGTTTCTTGTAGGCAGCAAGATCTTCAGGAGTAGCTTCAGACTCATCAAGCTCTTTGAGCTCCTTTTCAAGAACATATTCTTTGTTCTCAAACGAAGAGCCATCTTGATGTTGCGCATCCAATCGTTATAGTTTGAGCCATCCATAACGACTTTGGAGCAGATATTGAGCAAAGAGAAGTTTTGGTTGGAGGAGGATGAAGCAGAAGTGTTTCCAGGAGTAGACATCTGAAAAGAAAGAAAGTTTTAGTTAGATTTCAAGATACCTCAATATAATAACCCAAAGATAAATATCAAGGTTAGGATCCAACTATGAAGATTCACAACTTAGAAATGGGATGCCGAGATCCAAGTGTAAATTTCATAAAGGTAGGTGAATGACGATTCACCAATTCCACCATTAGACGAAACAAACGAAGTGAAATTCCTAATTCTTTTGAGATACATTGAAACTATTCAATGGCATGTTTTAATCTCAGATTATGCTCTTCTATTTGTGACTGGGATGCCGAGGATCACAAACAAGATGTGAATAACCATGCAAATGTGCTTGGTAACCTCATTGTCTTTATCATTAACTATTGATGTGCTGGTAAACCACACACGCTCCATCAAAATGACAATTATGAGATACCCATTACTACTCTTTATTAGTGCCTTTAGTGTGCTGGTTAACCACACACGCTCCACTAACGACCAATAAAGCATAATGTGCAATTTCATGGATTAGCATACTTTTCACATTTTTCCTAAAGTAACTAGAGTTGGGATTTTAAAAATAATGTTCTAGTACTTTCTTTAATGTCATTATACTTTTAATGAGAAGTAGTTGTCCTATCAAATCCGTTCTGCTAACGACCCTCCACTAATCAAGGAAGCGGTGGGTGAGAGTGGACACCCATTCAACTACCATTTTATAGGCAGTTTCCTTATACCCCCCTTATAGATTAGCTTCGTGAATGAGGCATACTAGCGATTTGACTGACCATATTCTTATACATATATAATATTAAACTTTTAATCATAATACATATATAGGGTGTGTTTTAAAACATTTTAAACTTCAAGGGTTTATATAAATTTCGAAATTCAAACTATTAAATTTAAATTTAAATAAACCAATTAACTAGATTTAATATTTATCTTTTAATTAACTATTAATCAAATTATTAAATCTTGTAAGGATTATCTAATTAAATTAATCAATTAATTTAATCCTAATCCTTATCCCTCTAAATTTCGAAAAAGGGTAAGGATAATTATCCAATTAATCTAATTAAGTAACAATTATCCAAAACAAGAAACCCTAAAACTTCTAGCAATTTCGAAATTTACAAGGGAGGAGGCTAGGGTTTTCAAAACCCTAACCCTAATTTCGATTAGGGTTCTTTGGAGGCTAGGGTTTTCGAAAAACCCTTTGATCCAAAACCCTAAAATCGAAAATTTGGCCTTTAGGGTTTAATAGCTATAAACCCTAATTTGCAATTCAACAATTATAGCAATTCAATTTAAAACAAACAATGGCTCTGATACCACTGATGGTTTTAGGTAAAACAAATAAACTAGAAAACAATTCCTAAGTTCACATGCAACCTACTTTGGATCTATGTTTTAACTATTGAACATATAACTTTGAATTGCAAAACAAGAACCCTAGAGGAGAGAGGCTATTTCGAAATTAACAAACTAGGGTTTAGGAGTTACATACCTTTCAATTGTTATAGCAAACAATTGATAATCCTCTTGATCTTGATCTTGATCTTCTTGGAAGCTTAGCACCACAAATGTAATGCCTCTAATGGAATCACACCCAAGAACTAGCAAGAAGGAAACTGGAGGAGAGAGGATGGAGAGAGTATGCAATTTCGGCCTTAGGGTTTCTTCCAAAGAAATCAGTGACCTCAAATGTGAGCCAGGAGGCTCCTTAAATAGCTGAGGGATCTAGGGTTTAGGGAAAACCCTAGTTATCCTTTGCTTAGGGCCTAAGCAAGATCCAAAGGCCTTATTTGGACCCCTTGGACGAAATCTCTAGGGTTTCCCCTAAGGATTTCGTCCACCTCCTTCCAAGGGGGTTCTGGAACCTTCCACTCAACTATTAGTTAATTGCAAACTAGTCCCTGCACTTTATAATTAATTCTTTTAACCCCAAAATTAATTCTGATTAATTTCTGGCTAACTATTAATTAAACATAATGATTTCTAATTAATATATTAATCTTTTAACATATTAATAAATCATTTATATTAATTCATTAATCTTATAAATTAATATCTCTCCTTTCATAATTTCCTTGTCCAGTTGCTAGGTTGAGGGCAACCCAAAAGGACTGTGCTGCTATCAATTCAAGTACATACCAATTATAGTTATGGGCTTAGACACCTAATCCAACAATAACTTCATGAAATGCTCAACCCCATGAACAATCCCAAAACGAGCCAAATATGACAATAAACTTCCAATGAAGAGATCTAAGCAATAAATAAGCAAGTTGTCGACTTTTTACCTCAAAAGAACTACAATACACCAAAAGTTTCTGGATCTGAAGCCTTCCTTCCAATCTAGACACTTCCAACCTCAAGTTCCTTCAAAAGAACACCAAGAAATCACTGTTCAAACTCTCTCACGCACAAATATGGGAGGGGATGCGCAAACTAGGGTTTTCTAGACAGAAGAGACCGATAAGGAGGCCACCCAAAGGGTATAAGGCCTTTAAATAAGATGCAACACCCTAAAAATTAGGGTTTCTTAATCAGCCACCAACTCGTCGAGTTTTCCTCACCAACTTGTCGAGTTGGTCAAAAAATATGTGCGGCCCAAAAGCCTTCAACACGGCGAGTTGAGGCCATCAACTCGACGAGTTCCAAGGGGAATTTGTCTTTTAAGGAATAAATCTTATACCTGAAAGTTGGGATGTTACACTTTTTTGAAGGATGCTGAAATGGTTTCCTTTTCATGCTACTAGGGACAAAAAAAAAGGTTTAAAGAATGTTGCCATTTCACACATAAAAATATGATGATCTAATAAAAAAACAAAATTTAATTGAATAAGTAGCGCAAATAGTTAAAAAAAAACTAAAACTTAAAAAACATGTATTAAATAATAAGTGGTTGATAGAAATTACTTAAAAACCAACTAAAGTTAAAGCTAAAGCTAATTGTAACGTTGATATCATTTATAAAAAATCTTGCATTATAGATGCTAAAAATGTGGTCATATCATATTTTATACTAGAGTCAAAGTGAGAAATAGTATTTAACAAGATTAAATACTTAATCAATTAAAGTCAAAGTTGAGACGTGAGAGATATAACCTATTCTAATAAGTCTTTTATAATATTTCAATAATTAAATTATTAATATAAAATGTAAAATGTAAAACATAATTATTGTATATAAAGTCATATTTTACATGTTAAATAATGCTAAATAATAAAAAAATTAGTATAAATAAGAAATAAGATCTTAAAAAAAAAGATTTTTATATGGTTTTGTCGTATTTTTTTTTAAATACTAAGCAAAAATAAAATGCCAAAATGCATAAGAAATGAAATTACAATCTTTAAATTAACAAAAAATTTCAAACTAAAACTGAATTACAAAATTATTAACTAAATTAAAGTTATTTATGGTTAAAACTGTTTTTTATAATGCCTAAGTTATTTAGTATTATCCGGTGTGTATATGGGTTATATTTTCTAACCTCTATATATTATATATCTATCTCTATAATATATATATATATATATATATATGAAAAAAATGAATATACCTTAAGTTTAGGTATCCAAACTCACCATATTACGTCGTTTTGTATCATATATATACATTGTATTTGTTCAATATTCTTATAATTCAACTTTTAACTTAATTTACTTCTAAGATTTTTATAAATTTCACATTTATCTTCCTCTTACATAATTTTCATTTTCAACTATAATATATATAGCCTAGTAGGTGTTCCGCAAAAAAATATGATGTAATAGGAAGATAATAGTAGAATTTTGAAAATCTTGAAAGTAAATCAAGTTATTGATTGAAGTTTAAGAACATTATAATGATTATATTAAACAAAACGACGTATTATGATGAGTTTGGGTACCTAAACTTATATACCGTTAAGGGTACTTTTCTCATATGAAAAAAATGAATATTATAATAACTTAGTTGTGAATAAAACCAAATATAAAGATGGAGATTTTCTTGAAAAAAAAAACCATTATATTTCATTACAATATAGAGATTTTTACACACATTTTCCATTACACAAAACAAAACTCCCCGTGAGATTAGAATATCCGTATCACAGGCGAGCGACCCAGTCGTAACAGCAGGCGGTTATCCCGATCTCCCTGCCTCTGACCCCCTCCATTTGTCAAGAACCCTAACCCTAACCCTATATCAGAAGTCAGCTCACATGAAAGGGGAAGTTAGCAACCTTAATTGTTCGATCACCCTATCATGTCCCAAGCCGATGTCTCTTACAGGTATCTACATCGATCATGATTTGAATCTTATTCGATCAGTTCTCATTTCAATTGTTTCTACACAAACTCCTGTGTCGATTGACTTGATTTTCATTTGATCAAACATAATTGACTGATCTTTATGTATTCGTATTAGTTTACACCTGAGTTTCTTAGGTTTTGTTCATTCATTTCTGTATCTGATTTGCCCAAGTTTATTTTAGGTAAAATCGTGTGATTCAAAGGTGTATTCTTGTCATTTTTGTTATTCTCTTCCTGCTTTTACTAATCTGGAGCACACAACTAGGATGATTCAAAATCAATCAGTAACTTCAAATTACTTTCATTTCTATTACACACGATCAGCTTAAGCTCTGTATTTTCCTAAATTCCTATTTATTGACTGAAAATTTAGCTTATTATCATTGACCAAGAGCTAATGAGCTAATTTTTGTTTTATTTCTTTGGAACAGTTGTGGTTCATGTGGATACCCTTTGAATCTAGCATCCTCAAATCGCATAACATCTGAAATAGGCTCCAAGTATCGCAAATCCATCAGAAAAGGTTCTATATCTTTTGCATCCATTGATCTTAGTAGATTCACTCAATTTGACGAGGTATCTTGCTTTCCCATCTGTTTAAATCGCCATGGTTCAAAAACAAAGCTATTATGTCGCCAATGTGGTGTTCATATAGGATACGGATATGGAGATGCACATGTTCTTCATGATACCGAATCATCCACCATATCCAACTCATATTACAAACAGATTGTAATCAAAATCCGAGCTTTACAACCTTCAGATCCTGTGTAGAAATGGAGATTAGTCTTCCCGATGATTGTTTGACTTTCATTTTTGAAAAACTTGATTCAAGTATAGATCGAGAATCTTTCGGTCTAACTTGTCATCGATTTCTTCAAATTCAAAACCCAAACCGTAAATCATTGGAATTCGGATGTTCATTCTCTCGATCTAATCTTTCTGAAACCACAATCAACATCGATTCCTTCATTCTTGATAAGTTAATCAAACGTTTTACACAATTAAACTCATTAAACTTATGTGGGTGTGTAAATCTTCAAGATTCCGGTCTAATCCAACTCATAAACCACGGATCAAAACTACACACTCTCTATCTCGATTGTTGCTTCAAAATCACCGATTCAGGACTTTCCCATATTGCCCTTGGGTGTCAAGCTTTATCCTTTATTAGTCTTTATCGTTGCCCTATAACCGATATCGGATTACAACACTTATCCAAATCTTGTTTATCTCTAAAAGACATAAATCTTGAATGGTGTTCCCAAATAACCGATGGTGGAATCTCCGCCATCACCACCAACTGCCGCCACCTTCGGGCAGTCAAGATTTCCCATTGTGACAAAATTAAAGGAGTCGGATTCAACGGGTATTCTAAAACCCTAGCTTGTTTGGAAGCCGATTCTTGCAAGATTGAGCCCGAGGGCATTTTGGGTATTTTGAGTGGTGGTGGGCTAGAGTATTTAAACGTATCTTGTCTTAGTTGGTGTACTCGGGGGGATGGGTTAAGATCAATTGGTGGTGGGTTTGGGAAGAATATTAGGGTTCTTGATTTTAGGGTTTGTAGAAGTGTTGGTGATGAGACTGTGATTGAGATTGCAAAAGGGTGTCCATTGTTGCAAGAGTGGAATTTGTCTTTGTGCAGTGAGATTGGGGTTTTGGGGTGGGAGTCGATTGGAGGGTATTGTGGTAATTTGGAGAAGCTTCATGTGAATGGGTGTCGGGGGTTTTGTGATCGAGGATTGTTGAGTTTAAGGAATGGGTGTAAACGGTTGATGATTTTGTATGTTTCTAGATGTAGACAAGTTAGTGAGTTGGCGATTGAGTTGTTTAAGGTTGCGAGGTGGGATGTGGAAATTAAGGTTGAAGAAGTTATGTGTATCATGCCGAAGCATTTCTTTAGATGATGATTTTAAATCGAAATGTGGATAGGACATATATCATTTTTGTTAATTTATGTTATTTTGAAGTGTAATTGGTTAAATTTGATTTGAGTGATATTTGTGTATGTTATGATGAGAACTTGGCTAAGGTAATTTCCATATAACAACACCAATGGATATTTTAATGAAGTTAATGAGAAGAGTAATTAAACTTGACTGTTACTTTTTTGTTTAAGGCTATGTTTGGCGCGCCATAACTAGCTGAAAAGCTAGCTTATTTTTTGAGTTTTTTTAAATTGTCGTGTTTGGCAAGCCAAAAAGTAGCATATAAGCTAGTTTTTTAAAAAACTATTTGGACTAGCTTTTTAGGAGCTTTTTTAAAATTTTCCAAATATACTCTTTAATTAATTATAAAAACACATTCTTTTAAATGTCTTTTTATGTCATTTCATATTTTTCAGCTAGTTTTACCAAACGTCATTTTTTATCAGCTAGCTTTTCAGCTAGTACGCCAAAATAGCCTAAGTATATAAAAATAGACCTAACTGGTTAAATGAGAAAAGTGTGCATTTATCCATTAAGAACTCATGTATCCGTTCTATTTTATTTTTCTAAAACATATTTCAATCATATTGTCTTCTCTATTCTTCCCAAAGAATCACTGAAGTATTTTTTTTAAAAATATATATGAGACAATCAATAAAAATTATATACAATTCTTTCAATCACTTCCAATTTCAAAAGTTAGTTAAATAATAATAACTTCGTGATTGACATGTGCAGTAAAAAAGGTATGCAGTTATTTTTATTAAAAGTTCAAGTTTGAATTTGATCAATTTATCATAGATAAATAAATAGCATAGGAAACTAGTAATTTAACCATTAAAGGTTGTTAAAGAAAACAAATTTTTTTTTCAGTTTTTGAAAAATAATCATTTTTTCCGGAATGTCTCGTTCCTATATTCATATTTCAAATACTTCATTCCGGATTTGATCTTTAATTTTGGAGTTTTCTCAATTTTTTTTTATAGAAATATCCATACTTATATCCAAAATGACCATTTCTAAGTGTTTAATTTCATAGTTTTTTAATAAAATATATGATTTTATGTACTAATATCGTATATAGTTCACATTATTATGTCTTTTTAACTTTTTGTTAGATTTAAGTAAAAATTGATATCTTTTTTCTCGAAATTCTGGAATTGTTCATTCAAGTTGTTCTTGAAATTCCAAATTTTTTTTTTTCAAAATCCAGGATTTCAATCGAGAATCTAGAATGTTGGTCCAAGATGTAATTTTTTTGTCAAAAAATGTCTTTTTCTTGGTCAGGCCCATTCACCTAAAGGACTTTATTAATAACAATAGAATAAAACAAGACAAACATACTGACACAGAAAGATTAACTTCAGTCTTCAAACATGCAATTGCAAACCTCAAACTTCCACAATGCATAAAAAAACACCACCATCAAATCATCCCAAGAAAATAGCTTGAAATCTCATGTTACATTCTTATTCTCCTTTATCGGGAAAGATCTTTCAATACAATATTACAACATAAGCAAGAGATACATATAAATAAAAAAAGATTATTTGACGAAAAGATCATTTCCAAATACGGAAAATACCTATCTATACACATTCAATCCTCTCACCTTTTCATCTGTAATCCTTAATCTCATACAGACATACACCTTCTTTCCTCTGTTTTGTTTAGTTGATCAAAATGATCAATTAGGTGCATTGTTTCCCCATACACCATCCCAACCACCAGCCGGTGCACCCTTGGGTCCCTCAATTTGTTGACCATGTTGACCATGCGGTCCAGGCGGTTGAATCTTGTTCAGCTTTGTTTTCACACCCAAGATTCGAAATACAAATCTAGCCAACTCCCCGTATAATAATCCTGACCGGTCAAACAACTGCCATGACAGAACAGAACAAGTTGTACTGCATTTAGCATGACATGACAGTACAGAACAAGACAGGACAAAACAGATTGTAATTTGACTTGAGACTGATGTCAATGAAACAAAAATGTTACCTGAAGAAGGGCGGACATGAACATATGAAATGCTTGGGCATTTTGGTCAATTAACATCGCAACTCGGCCAAAGAAAGTTACAAATCCTTGCATCTAGAAACATAAAATTAAAATTAAAAAATAAAAGGATTTATATCCTAAGATTATTAAATTAAAGTATTATTATCCGACTTACCACACGCATTAAAGAGATCCAAAATCCAGGAGGTTGTGAAGGAGCACCAAATGGATTATTTGGATCCTGGTCATCATACGGGCCACCTGGACCACCCATACCCATACCCATACCCATACCCATCCCCATACCCATACCCATGCCACCCATTCCTCCACCATAACTACTACCATACATTGCTCCACCATACATGCTGCTACCACCGCCATAAAGACCACCATACCCTCCTCCTCCTCTATACATGCTGTTTCCATATAAACCACCACTATTATAAGAAGAACCCATTCCACCATATGAGCCATAACCTCCAGCCCCTAACCCAGAATTGTAACCCAAACTTGACCCATAACCCGCACCTGAGATGTAACAAAAAACAGTGTAAAGTGATATTAGAAATGGGAAATGTCAATCTTGCCCCCTAGATGAAAATTTGTTATTAATTTGGTTATGAATGTACCTCCATAGGTTTGTTGTTGTTCCCATGGTCTAGGGGGAACAGGTCTTCCGAGTGTATTGACTGCTGAAGTTGTATTGTTTGATTGAACGATTTCACCTGGTCTTGCTGTTCCAGAAGCTTCGACTACATCACTTGTGCTACCTGGAGTTGCAGGTTTAAAAGGAGCTGGACCAGATGATGATGATCCGGCTCGTTCCCATGGTTTAGGAGGTGGACCACTGCCTGAATTCGAAAGAAAAATTCTCAATGATCAATAAAATTTGTTTATGAAGTTGCGTCAATAACTTGACCACAATTTTTAATCAAAAGGAAGAAGTGAATTCTGCTTGAACAATACGAATTCAACAGATAGTAACAACAAATCAAAATATTAGCTCTAACAGTCTCGAATCAATCGGTTTAAACTAATAAAACCCTAGAAAGAAGCATCAATTTTGGGATTGATTAAACCCGCCATAGAAAACCCTCGACAAGTTAAAATTCCTCACGAATTCAACGGAAAGTGATGATAAATCCCAGATCAATCAATTCATAACAATTGAAAACCCTAGCATAAAGCACAAGATTACGGATCGATTAAACTAAAAGGAATTACAAAAACAATTATATGATTATATCAAGATCTAGCGAAAGAAAACCTGATTGTTGCGAATTATTGGTAGCCATGGCAGGGAGAGATACGCTTCCCGAAACCCCACCACAGAGTAGGGATAAAGAGAGAGAAACCCTTCAATATAGCAGTCGCAAGGTCCAAATTGTTGTTCGTTGTATATTCGATGGGTTTTATGAGTTTATCCCTTCGTGATAATTCTTAGCAGTCCAAAATTTCATTGGGTTCTGTAATAATTGTTATCTTTCCGCCATTTTGATCTTACTATTTTGCCCCTTATTTTTTTATTTTTATTTGGGGGGCTGATAGACGTGTGGGTCCAACCAGTCAAACTAAAGTCCATACTCGTTAAAGGCAGACCGGGTCCAAATTCCACAAAGCATTCATACCATTTTACATATGCATTAGGTCCCTATGGATTATATAAAATCCAAATCCACCCCTAAGCTTGCTTGGAGGGGCTCGTTAAGGAGTCCGTCAAATGATTTGCCTGGCTTCGGCGCACACCGCGCCACAACCTTAACAAGGTAACTCGGCAAGCTTACTCGGCATATATTTGTCGAGT